CAGCACACGGGCTGAAAACCTAGGTGTGCTCACCCACGTTTCCCAAAACTCTCCATGAGCACCGTAGAGAAGCTCCATGGACACTTTTGTAGTGAATCTATATCAGGAATGGCCATTTTCACCATGACTAAGCTGTGCAGGGGGAACCTCTAGTCACCGCGCAGAGAAGTGTAAATAAAGGTGGGCACAGGCTTGTGCTTAGAGTGACCAGGGCACTGTTTCCTGGAGTGAGAGCAGCACTGAGCTGTCCTGGGAGAAATACCCAGAGCCACACATGACCCACCGCAGATGGTAAAGTACTTGTGCCATAAACAAAAGAACAGCACTTAGAGATAAGTTTAATTTCCATTCTCCAATTTTAAGTGGGAAAATCCAGGCACACAAGTGTTGAATATGTACCATATAATGTATGTAAGGATAATTACAAACTGAAAGTAAAAATATTACATTTCTCTAGCATACAACAAGTATTTATTTTGTCATTTTGGTAAAGTGTTCTTTTTCAGAAAATATATAATATTTTTCTGCCACTCTGAGACAGACACACAGCTGATGAATTGTACACTTTGTATTAGATATCAAAGGTATATTTAGTTTAATTTCAAGCATTCCAGTATACACAAAGACATATACACAGATGCATGCATATATATATATATATATATATGAACAAATAAAATAAATGAGATAAAACGTTAGCAAGAAATATAGGTAAACCTGTATATTTTATTCTGTGTACTATTTTTATTCTTGCAGTTCTATATTCATTTAAAATTAATTATAAATGAAACATTTATAAATGAAAAATTATCTGTATATGCAGATATGATTATTTACATAATATATAAAACACTTTTATATTTTCAACACAAAACTTCTATATCTGATAAAACAAATTCATCACTGTGGCAGGAAATGAGAGTAATATACAAAAGTAAATACATTTCACATACCAAAAATAGGTCCACTGATAAGGAAGGCAGGATAATAATTTCATTCACAGAAGCATCTAAAAGTACCCAGAGTAATCCTAACCAAGGAAGTACAAGTCAGATATACTGAAAATTAAGGAACACTGAAGGAAGAAATTAGACATTGGCAAACAGGAAGATCTCCCACGTTCACAGATCAGGAGAATCAATATTGCTAAAACTGCAGTCTCACCAAAGCACAGACCGCATCAAATACCAAAGGCATTCTTCCAGGAAAACCAATCCTAAGATCCATATGGAAGGACAGGTGAACCAGAACAGCCAAGGAAGTTCTGAGAAAGAAAAATGCTGGAGGCATCCCAATATTAATTTCAAAATACTCTAGAAAGCTATAAAAACAGAAACAGCTTGATATCACCATGAAAATAGACATGTGAACCAGGGGAATTAAAAGGAGACCCAGAAATAAACCACACAACCGTGGTCCCCAGATCCTTGGCAAAGGCATCTGGACAACAGCCTTTCTAACTCTCAGTGGGTGCCGGGACAGCCTGAGGTTGCCCTTAGACGCTGACCCTCACCTTGCCCAAGCAACAAACCCCGCTGCATTGAGGATCTAAGTGCGAGGCTCGAAGCTGTTATGAGAAGGTGTAAGGGAACCACTTTACCTTGCGTGCAGGCAATGACCACATGAACAGGATTCCAGCAGGCCAGGAAACAGCAGCAAGAACTGGGCAACGGGACTTCATCAGATTTGAAAGCTTTCACACGCCCAGGGAGACCCAACAGAGTGAAGAGGCAAACGTCTTTGCCAAGAACTCTTCAGACAGAGTATTAATACCCAAAATATATGCAAAGCTATAAAGTGTAATATAAAAAACATAAGATAGCAATAACATTTCTCATCAGAATTACAAGGGTCTACAAATACAGTACTCAGTGTTTTTAGTCGCGAGGGCGATGCAAATCAAACTACACTGGGATTTCATCTTACCCAGTCAGAATGGCTCTTGCCCAGAACAGTAAGAGAATCAGTGATCAGGCAGGTACCGAGGGTACAGACACCTTGGTCTGATTGTAGTTAGGGAGAGTGTTAAGTTCAGAGCAGAGGTCCCTTAGAAAGCTGGTTAGACCGACTGTGGATCCAGCTACACCACTCTTCAGGAGACGCACAGGAGAATTAAAACCAGAGTGCTGCACAGATCGCTGCACACGCACGGTGGAGCAGTGAAGTTCACGTAACTAAGCTACAGAAACAGCTCACTGATGGTGAACCCGTCCGAGCTCTGGATCACACAGACAGTCCGCTATGGCATGCGCGCTGTGGGTTCCCCACCCTGGGGCCCTACGGGATGAAAAACCATGAATGAATGAAAAACACGTGCTATGCAGACACGATGGAGTAGCAATCAGTCACTAAGAAGAGTAAATTTTATCATTTACAAGAAATTAACCACTTAAACCAAGCCAGCAAAACTCAGGCCAATGTATCCTGTTTTTACTCATATGTGGAAGTTAATTTATATAAAAATTATGTATAATTATACCTGTATACGTAGAGACACACAGAGAGAACGTGAAACTAGTAAAAAAAAAAAACTACTAGGAAAGAGTGAGGGAATCAGAGGAGGGGGAGCGGAAGGCCACGAGGAAAAGATGCAAGTCTGAATAGTCCCACATGAACTATATGGATTCGTGTGTCCGCTGTGTGCTAATAAAAACAAAGAAAAGGAGAAAACATGATTTTTCTGTTGAAAAACATTAAACCACAATAAATGTACATGGTAAGACCTCTCCTGAAGATACTGAAGGATAGGAAAATAAACCTGTTATAAACAAGCAGATCTAAGCTGGAGTCCAGAGCCTCAAGGGCAGCCGACCCTGAAGCGAGAGGACTCCTTACACCGCTGCCCCAGAGTTCACCCTAAACTCAGTGCAGCAGGAGTTGGCCGTGCCACTCTGTTCTCATTTTCAAAAAATAGAGAGGGACATTGTGGAACGAGTTGCCTGGGGAACTAGAGTCCGGCACGCCCAGGGGAACTGGGACAAAGGAGATGACACGGCCACGCCATTGCATGATGGAAGAGGGCAAAGCGTGTTCAGGAGCTGTGCCTCAGACGTAACCCAGGAAATCACCCCATTTAGCTTCCCAGAGATTTCCACAGCCCAAAGGAACAAGCAAAATAAAAATCACCTAATTTCCTTTCAAAAGTGCTCAAAAAAGAAAGAAAGTGTAGTTTTTTTGCAACAAGGGGAATTTTTAACTCTTGTTCTTATGTTTACACTGTCGTGTATAAACGGGTAACTTACTCAGGTACTGTTTTTAGATTTCTTTAGCAATAAAAGGATTTGAGTGTACTTCCATGTAATAAAGATTGGATTTTCAGAGTGTAGGATTGGTCTATGAAGAGCATGGATTCAAGGGTCTTGAGCCCCATGTTTTCTAGACGGCCTTGGGGGGAACCAGGTCCAGCTGTGACCCAGAACCCAGACAGCCGACATGCGCACTTCACGCCGCGTGACCGTCCCCTTGTGCAGGTGTGGTTGGTACTTTTGCAGAGCGCTGAATCCCAGCAATGGTCTCATCTTTGTCCCCGTGCCTCGCGAAAGTGTGAAAGGGAAGGGAAGGCATTTATTCTGTGGCTCAGAAATTATTCACTTTTTTGCTTCATATTCTACTGTTAAAATAATTATGCCCAATTAAGACTGAAATAGCTCCTACATCAAGCAAACACCTGAACTGTGGAAGGCGAGGGAAAGTTGTACATCAGAGACTGAGACGCGCTGAGGGCTTCTTCCTGCCTGACAGGCTGACACCTGTCACAACAGAAGTCTTGGTGTCACTGCACGGTGGCCCTGAGCTCCCCAATCCTGAAGGTATGAATAAGATCTGGGAAGCCGTGCCTTGCAGGAAGGACCTGCCCAGGACTCGTCTGCACCACAGCTGCCAAAGTGAGTGACCTCCTGATTCTTTCACTTAATCAGGTGTGCCTGAAAATTTCCCTCAGAAGGAGAAGCGTTATTCTGTTTACGACTAAAAACCAGGGCAGCTGTGGGGAGGGCCTTGGGGGCTCAGAAACCTCCTTGTCTAGTGACCTTTAAAAGTCAAGTAGGACAGGACAGCACGAGGAGGGAAGGTTTCAGGTCAGTTCAGGCCTCTGCCTCCCTGGGTAGACGAGATTGTAAGTGAACTCTGGGTTTGATCAAGCATCTGCCTGGCTCCTGCAAGGAATCAGAAAGATGCAGGAGTCTTTGGGGTTTCTGTAAGTTTTGTTTTCTCCCACCACCAATTTTACTGGAAACTTGACTCGGCTGATATCACTTCCTGTTTTTAAGTTTGAGTATTTCATTTCTAGTGCCCTTTTGCATTCCGAAATGGGCCATATCTGTATTTTTATGTTATAAATTTCCTAAGTGCACTTCTGCTTAATATTAGATTTTCCTTTCTGCTTTTATTCATAAATTCTCCACATGCTAACACACAGTTTTATATTATACTTGTTTTTCATTTATTATTTATTTATTTGAGACAGGGTCTCGCTTTGCAGTTCACGCTGGCCTGGACTCACTATGTGGCTTAGGCTGGCCTCCAACTTTTGAAACTCCACCTGCCTCAGCTTCCTGAGTGAGGGTTTCCAGGCATGTACCACTATGCCCAGCATTGTATTATACTTATAAGTTAATTTATTATATACCTGTTTATTAGGAGAACTGTTAACAATGATTGAGGAAAAAATTATAGCTTCTCTTTCAAGAATCTTAACCATGAATTTGCCAGGCTATGAGATATTGTAATAAGAAATAACTCACTTTAGTTATAGCCAAGAGCCTTGGAGTACTGGGCAATAATTTCATCTTTTGTTTGGGAAAATAGCCCATGATAGATGCTATACTCTGCTTAAACTGTTTGATGTCAGATTCAGGTTACTGTTTAACCTATAGCATGACTGTTTCTTATAACTGCAAAGAATTGTTATGTTATGAAATATTTTGTGCACCATGCCTATGATCATTACTCATGCTTTCTTCAAAAAGGTGTTTGCTGGACCCAGTGTTTTTCTGTCAGTGATGAGAGCAATGGTTTTGGACCTTGTCAAAGGAACAATCCTAGCCTTTCTGGCCGGACTTGGCACTGCAGGGAACATCTTTGTTTTTGTAAATCATATACTCATGCTTAGGGGTACTGAGAAGAAGGTTGTGCACCTTATTCTCATCCATTTGGCCTTTGCAAATATCATAATGCTTCTGTCCAAGGGAATGCCAAGGACGATGGCAGATGTTGGTGTGAGAAACTTTCTGGATGACACCAGCTGTAAGATCGTGTGCTACCTGGAGCGGGTGGCCCGGAGCCTCTCCATCTGCACCAGCGGTCTCCTCACGGTGGTCCAGGCTGTCACTATGAGTCCCAGAAGCTCTCGGTGGAGGAGGCTCCGGCCCAGGTCTGCATGGTTGGTTCTTTCTTTGTTTCCCTTCCTGTGGATATTCAGTTTTTTGACAAACATCAGTTTACTCCTTTACATTACAAGTACTAGTGTGAACACATCACAAATGAGTGAGAGTGACTACTGTTATTTTCGGCCCAAAAATCAGAAGGTAAGATGGATCATTCTCAGTAGCATGGTCCTACGGGATGCTGTGTTTCAGGGTCTCACGTGTGGGCCGAGCGCCTACTTGGTGCTTCTTCTCCGTAGGCACCACCAGCATGTTCTCCACCTGCAGAGCTCCAAGTTCCTGTACAAAACTCCCACTGAGGTCAGAGCTGCCCGAAGTGTTCTCCTTCTGATGCTCTGTTTCCTCTTCTTTTATTGGGCAGATTGTGTTTTTGCTCTACTTGTGAATTCCTTCTTGAAGAGTAATCCTATGTTAAATATTCCAGAGTTTCTCACCCTTGGTTATGCGATTCTCAGCCCATTTGTGCTGATTCACAGAGATGGACATGTGGAGGACTGCTGGCCCTCTAGGTGGGAGAGCAGGACTTGCAGAAAATATTTATTCCCTGCATCCTTTAAAGTAAGTAAGTTTGAAATAACGCTTACTTTCATTGTGCTCTATGTAGTAAAAACTCAAATGAGAGTAGCTCACTTGAGACAAAAATACAAGTGAGAAAAATATTACTTCACATTGTCATATAAGAGCTGTTGTGCTATGAGCTGTGTCATGTAAGTGCTGGCACTGAGCTTGTGGGAAGGGGACCTGGGGTCTTCTCAATCCACCGCCTGCATCCCTCGGGAAGCGGAGACATCATGCCCTGCTGGTCACAAGAAAGAGAAATGGTGTGATAAATCCTTGCCTTTAATCCTTTTATCCAAGAACTTCATTCTAGGGCCTGTTTGCAGATATATGTGTTCATGTAAGACACACAAAATGAAAGATAACTTTTGGAGGCTGCTTTAAAGACAAACCCAAGTATGCAGTAAATGGCCATTTTGCTTGTTTTTAAATTATATATTTTTTAACTTTATTAGGGCATGTTTGCAGTACAAAATGATTGCAACCACTGCAGAGAACTGGTACCCATACAGAAGATGTTTTGTTTCTTTTTTCCTTCTTCCCTCCACTCATTTTTAAGTTTTCCAGCATCAGATTCATTTATTTATGTTATAAGAACTTATACAGTTAAATGTTACATATATAGATTAAAAAACAGACTAATTGGCTAAAAACATAGAAAACATGTAGGACAATTGTACAAAGCTACGGTGCACTTTCAGAACGCGATGCAATAGCAGTAATATGTTCACTTTTTCTGTTATGATGTTGGAAGAACACAAAGGCCCTGGAAGTATGATTGTCTGTTCTGAGGGCACTCATTATGAGGGAAACAAAGTAAAATTTCAGGGCCAGGGATATAGCTCAGTGGCACAGTGCTTGCCTGGCAAGCATGACACTGTTGCCAGTACAAGAAAAAAAAAGGTAGAATTTCATTGTCTTCTTTCTATATTTTCTGATTTGTAGATCTTTTAAATGCATTTTTAAACCAATGAATTAAATAAAGCAAATGAATTTAATATTACTATCTATCATCATTTGTGTCCTGCTTCAAGACATCATGTGCTATTTTACACTGTCCAATGCCATTTGTTTCTCTCTGTTTATGTTTTGATCTTTAATTAAGACTTTGCTTTGTATTTTTGTTTGGCTACAACTAAAATTCATGTTTGTGTAGAATGAATGTTTAGTTAGACAGCTGGAATACTAAACATTTTGTAAATTCTTGGATGCTTTATGATAATTCCACATGTTTACATTAGAAGTTTGAGAATTACTATAAAGAAGCTGCCACCCCATTATTAGAAATGTCTCTCTGTGTCTCTTTTATGAAGCTGCATAAACACATGTGTTTTACTTCTGTAATAAGCAATGGTGTATGCTTAGCTTTTAGTGTGGTTCTGCTATGTCCAGACAGATTTCAAGTAAGTGATTAATATTATGTCACTTTCTAAACTGGATAGGAGATTATCATTTTCATATAAGTATTGCTTGCTTGAGGATGATAATGTATTCTTTATCTTGGATTTCATTTTCCTATGACAGATCTTTCTTACTATCTAGTATAGAGAATGAGAAAAAGCAATCAGTTTCTAAGAAGGAAATTGGCCTTTGATTAAAAAGAGAAGGATTTAAATTCCATAAATGCAGTTAGGAATGTCACTGGAGAATTTAATCACGAGGAAGAGAAGGTTGTTCAAGGAAAAGGAGATAAGAAAGTAACAAGACTGTAAGGACAAGTTTTATGGCTATTGCCAAAAAAGCAGCAAAGCATTAGTTCAGTGTCTGTAACTGACTTTCTGTTTCTTGCTACAAAATGAGAATTGTGCTCAGAAAGTTCACATTGCATTTAGAATCAAAAGTTAAAAGTAATTTATAGTTGAGGAGCACAGGCTTGAAACTGGTACATAAAATGGAGAGAAGATGGGAAATGCAAACTGTGAATACCGGCCCTTCCACACATAGCATGCCAACTGGCTTTTACCTTTCCTAGTCTCTAGATTTTTACCAGTAAAACAGAACAGTAAGGTGGACTGTGCCTGAGTTTTGTGCCTTTGGAAGCTGACATAATATTTAAGTAGGCTAGAAAATGCCCCAGGTTTGGTGAATGATTCACCTCCATTATCAAAAACCTTAAAGGACCTACATCGTATTATCTCAACAATGTTTAGCCCCAGACTCACTGTAATGAATTTTATAAAAATTAAAACAGAAAAATTTTGAAATCAAAAGACTACATTATGTACAAAATAGCAATGACTTAAGTGCTATTCATTTTACAGAAGAAATGCTGGACCTGAGAAAAGACTTCCTTGTTCACCAGATCCTGTGAAACCCTTCCTCTGACTGGTTGTTCACAGTGGTACACTGGATCTTTAGCACATATCTTCAGCCCTAAGTGGGGTCTGTAACCTCCTGGACTGTCAGTATTTACTCTTCTCCACTATTGAGTCACTCTAGTGGTGGGAACCTGAAGCACATGTGCAGCAGTTGGCTGTTTGTTATTATTGAAAACTGTAAAAGATTCGCCATCACTGCTCTAGAGATGACTGCAGAGCTCCTTACAGAAGAATGGGAGGAAGAATACAGTGTACATTTCAGGTGCTGTGGTAAGGCTGCACATGGGGATCCACACTGTGCCTGATTCCAGAAGCTCTGCAGATCAGCTCAGATATGGAAAGGAGTGAGGAGCTGTAATTCACAGTAGCTAAGCTGTGCATCAGCCTCAATGCTGTCCTCAGACGGATGGAAAAGAAAGTATTGCACATACACAGGGGACATCCTGGACCCATAAAAGTGTTATTATGTCATTTGCAAGAAGTGATGGTGTAACAGTAAATTTAAAATGTAAAAACTAGCTAGTGGATTTACACCAATTGAGACAGGACGTGCTCATCTGGCCTGCCCGATAACTAGGCTGCCAAACCCAGTTTCCCTGACTGACTTCATCCAGCTGCTTTTCACAGTCTGGTCCAGGTCAGCTTGACCCCGTCCAGCTGCAGTGCTTCTGTTTTCCTACCTAAAAATGTCCCCTGTTTCACTAGTCTGTTCCAAAATCTGTCTAGCCAAGGTTTAGACAAGGACAAGGACATATATGATACTGCCCACCTTCTTGCCCTAACACTCTCCCAAGATACCCTGCCTTAGAAAGCAATCCCTCTAACTGAATCTGCCCAATTTTCCTAATACACGATGCAGTCCATAACTCATAGGCTATCAGCTTTTGTACTTCCTACTTGCAAACCCTATATAAGCAAAACTCAAAGCTGAATTGGGACTGGTGATTTGGAACTAGTCTTCCCTCGCCTGCTGATGTAGTAAACAGTTTTCTCTCCCAACTCCTTGGTGCAAGGTGTTGTCCTTTTGGTTTCGTACTGGTTTCTGCAATGACTGCAGCCCATCATATTACACAAATTGAGCCGAACTCAAAAAGTCAATAGCATTTTTATCTTATAAGAAAAAAATAAAACATACACAGGTATGTACATGCATACACGCAATAGAGAAGAGATTGCATAGATCTAGGAGGGAGACTTTAGAAGACAGTGAGGGCTCAGAGTGGAAGGAGGGAAGAGGTGGAGAATGGGATTGAAAATTGATTATGATGTATTCCATGCAGGTACCAAATTCTTCAAACAAGCTTTGCTATTCTGTGTTACTAATGTGCACTAATAAAATAAATAAACACCCGAAGGAAAGTAATCGGTATGTTTTACAGAGATCCGCACATCTGTGTTCCTCACAACAGTTTCCACCATGAAAAATGACAACAATTTAAGTTTCCATCCCATCATGATGAGTAGACTCAAACATGTCTCTCTCTCTCTCTCTCTCTCTCTCTCTCTCTCTCTCACACACACACACACACACACACACACACACACACACACACACACACACAGAGTGGAATAGCATTCAGGCATCAAAAGTAGTATAGTCCTATCATGCCTATGATGTGTGACAGTATGGATTGAAGTGGAGGCCTTCTGCTAAGGGCATTGAAAAGCAAGTGCTGTGTGATCTCACTGCATGGAATGTAGAAGTGCACACCTGGGAGTTTGGGAGTAGTGTGGTGGATAACAAAGTCGGGCAGGGCAAATGAGTAAGGCTGATCAAAGGGTTTTTGCCATGGTCATGAAAGGGGAAGTATTCTCAGAGTGCTGTTCAGCATAGATAAAGATAATCCACAGTATATTTCAATAGGTGGGATGAAAAGCTTTTAAATTTTTTCACAGAAGAAAGTGATAAGAGGTCATGGCTGCTGAGGTCCAAGTGAACTGAGCAGAAAGACACAGAGATCTGTTTAAGTAAATGCAAAGAAACTGAAATCATCCCATGCATATTATCTGACCATAGTGCTGTGAAATAGGAAATTAATGGCAAAGAAACCATAAAAAGTCCATAAACACATAAAAATTAACACCCTTCTGAATGACTGATGGGTCACAGATGAAGTTAAAGAAGAAATTAGACAATATTTACAATTAAACAAAAATGCAGGTACAGCATACCAAAACCCGTGGAACACAACGAAAGCAGTCTTAAAGAAATTTATAGTGGTGAATTCTAACATCAAGGAAACAGAATGAGAGCAGCATTCATGGGTTGGGAGGAGAAACAGGAAGTTAATTTTCCCTTCCTATGAGTCAGCAACAACCATAAGCCAGGAGGAGAGGCATGAGGTGAATTTATCTTCCTGTGATCCAGAGGCAACTGTAGGCTGGCAGGAGAAACAAGAGGTGCCCTTCCTATGAGGCAGCAGCAGCCATGTGTTGGTAGGTGAAAAAGGAAACCAATCTGTTGTTCTTGTGAGCCACCTGGTACACAGGGTGGGAGACAAGAGGAGCCAAGACCTCCCTCCCTGTAAGCAACCAGCTGATTTAGAGGAACACAGACTGGGGTAATAGCAACTGAGGTACAAAAACAACTTAACTCTTATATTGTTTGGTTGACTTTGCAGATCTGAAACCAGTAGTCTGAGCATATATTTAGAGAATAATAATATACAATATAGCAACTATGGGGGTTTTCTTCTGTCTTATTTTTGAAATCCAATATTGTTCTTACTGTTTTGTTTTGCTCCATTTTATTGTTTGTTTGTTCAATGTTTTGTT